GTACAAGGATCAAGCTAAAGTTGTTTGACCGCTTGAACAGTCACTTGTGCGCTCGCACAGCAAAGCTACCAAGGTTTTCTATATTGGAGGGTATTTTTATAACTGTTTCCTTGATGATTTGAGAGTGATTGGTGGATCCACGAGTTTCATATTGGTATTATTTATTTTATTCACAAAAGAGAGAGGTGTTCTTCGGTGGATTTCGGGGAACTTGGGCCTGAAGCTTTTGTGGATTCGGGAGTGGCATATCGTCGTGGATTCGACATTAGTATTGTGGATTCAACGTTGGGCAAAAGAGGCACATTGGGGTCGGTTCAATTCAGACGTGGATTCACTAGGTAATTGAGAGTACACACATGTAATTCCTTTTTGTCTTCTTAGTAGATTGTTTTGTGACTTTGGCCGTGGTTTTTCCACATTAAATCATTGTGTCTATTTGTTATTGATTGTTTGATTGAGATTAGTATTCACTATTCAAAATTGAAACATAATCATGAATCAATATCTTGGGTTATTTAAATTATTCAGTTGTCTTCAAAATTATCCAACCTCTTTTCTCTTGAAAGAGGGGTGTTTATAGAGGCCTAGAGGTTGCTTGATCCGCAATTCACTTGAGAATTGTGGAGGTGGCACCTCCACATGCATGGGGGGGACCATCTTCTAAAAACTGCTCTGTTTCTCGACAAATTTGTTTGGCCAGCCAAAAATTGTCTGGTAATCTCTTTTATGGAGCCAAAATATGGCCAGTCAGACATAAAAGTTCTACGACCAATCAATTTTGTATGGCTAGGGCAATTTTGAAGGGAAAACAAGGTTTTTCCAGAGGATTCTCCTTAAGGCCATTCATTCCCACTTTGTCTTCAATTGGTTATCGAAAATCACAATGTTTTTGTTTGAAAAGTGAGCTTTGAACATCATGGAAATGATTGGATTTATACACGGCTAAAAAAATTTAAAAAAAATGGTTTTTATGGTCTAAAAGCAGTTGGCCAAATGGGTATAAAGTTGGGATAGAGCTTTAAAATTGAGCTCTCTGGTGGAGAAATTGAAGGATTAAGCGGGTCGGGATTTTCATGATCGAGTGCCAAGAGTAAAGTGCCCAAGTCTTAGGGCCAATCAAAATGAGGTGTCTAAACTACCATTGGTAGGACAGAGAAAAAGTTGTACCATCTTGATTAAAGCAACAAGTTGCCTTCTCATCTCAACAATTTCATCTATTTGATATGAATCCCCACTATTCCTTCTAACTGGAGGATTTACCTAGGCATCATCACCCAAATTCAGAGCATATGCCCTACCATGGCCACCTTTACGACCTCTACCTTGTTGATATACACAAACAATTCAATGTGCAGAGGCACAACAAAGCAATGAACACTATTCAACAAACCCAACTAATCAACCAATTTCAGTTACAGAAATAGAGACAAAAACATAGTGGAAAAGCTAATCATAGAAAAACCGAGATTCAATTTTAATCAACGAAATCCAACGCACATACAGTCCTAATTCCCAAATCAAGACCCAATATCAATTTGCAAATTTAAGGATCCAGAATCAAGAGAATGTTGCAATCAAAGATACAAACTCATAATAGTTGTAATCAAAGAATATAATAGAATTGATTGCAACAATTAACACAATTATTTAATATGGAAAAACCACGGGCTGTTAGTCGAAAGTCAATTACCCAAGAAATTGATATCTGTTAGTCGAACCAGGAACAAGCTTCGAAAAACCAAAAATGGTGGTATGGATCACGCTTTCATTATGAAAGTCAGGGTCAATAGTGTAGATTGCAAAATTGAATCCGAGGTTCAATCATAATTCTTAGAATCATGCATTGCAATGTTGGGTAGTTTGATCGATGTGATGTTCCGAGTGTTGGACCCTACTCAATTATGCCTTTTGGACTATTTGTTTTGGTTCCAGTGTTCGAAGTTTAGTGTGACCTATTGGTGTTTGGGATTCGAACTTGTTTAATCTTCTTGCCATTCTTCCTAGTCAGAATTTTCGAGTTTCGGGCGTAAGGACGAAATAAAGAGACGTGGAAACACCTCAGAAAGATTGGGACTCAAGCAGGTGGGGTTGGACGTGTGGATTCATGTAGATAGCTTGGTATTTTTGGGTAGGTACCTGTACGTGCGACAAAGTGTACCCGTATCTGCAATGGAAGGCTCTACATGTGCGGCAATTTGTCTTGCACATGAGGCAAGGTGGAGCAGCAAGTGTTTCTTCTCTGGGAGGATCCACATGTGCAACAGAGGGCCACTGTACGTACTGAAAGGGTCACTGTACGTGCGGCCAGAAGCATTTTCAGCTCAATTTTTGTGCCCAAACTCATTAAACTGAGGCCCTCTCTCCTCTATTTTCTCATTTCTCTCATATTTCTCTCTCTAAAACTCTTGTTCTCTCTTTCTCTCATCACTCTACACAAACCCACCAACCCTCATATTTCTCTTTGATCTAACAAATCCACTGAGATTTTGATACTAGTTCTTAAGGCCAAAACGATGAGCCTGACAAGGGCTATATTTTGACTAGTGGAGATCAAATTCCGGCGAAGTTGTTTTTTGGGGCTTTTCTTCTATTCTCTTCTAAAGGTAGGGATTCTTTGCTTCTTTTCAATACCTTACTATAGATAGATATGTGGTACCTTTATTGCATGAAAATTTTGATTTTTAGTAGAGATTTCAAAATAACATGTACATTTGAGTTAGGGTTTTGGATTTTAAGAGTTAATATACTGTTTTTATCGTTGGTTATGAAATTTGGAGATAATAAAACATATTCATGATGATTGAATATAAAAGCCCTAAATTTTTATGGAATATTTATGAAGCTAGAGAAGAGTTGATAATTACATAATTATTGGGACTATTATGCAATTAGAACATGATTGTGGTGATTTAAGTAAAAGGGCCGTAATTTTTTTTATTGTAATGCTTATGAGATATGAAATAAATTGATAATTTTAATATTTATTGAGCCACATAGATTATTGTGAATCAAAGTGTGAAAAGGGAATGGAAAGAAAAAGAAGGGATTGTCATGAACTTAGAATGTGTTGAAATGGTTAGTGATTGGGACTAATGGAAATAATTATTGTTAATAAGAAATGATTATCACAAAATTGGCTTATGTCATAAATGTTGGTGATCGGAAATAGTGAAATCAATTGTGAAAATTATATGTATTAATTATGAGAATTGACGACATTTATTGTTTAGAGGTTTTGTCCTTGGCCATCGGTGGAGGATGGTATTATTTGTTGTAGAATTTATCTGAAATAGGTTGAAATGAAACCTCATGTGTTTATTGATTAACTACTCAATTTCGTAATTAGATGAGAATGAATGGAAGGAAATTGAGATGCATGTGTTGTGAAATGTGATTGTGCTATATAGAGGTAATGCGACCGTTCCAGCTAGCAATCGATAAAGCAGGCTATGCTATATAGAGGTAATGTATTCCTTCTAGCTAGCAACAGGTAAAGCAGGCAAACATGGGTCTGGGCGAGACCACGGTGGTGATGTGGGGCTTGGCAAGACTACAAGTTGTCAATTTTATTATGAGATTTTATTGCTAATGTGTATATCTATTATGATAATTGTTGATGAAAATATGTATTGAGAATATAGTTGAAGTTGTGTTATGAGGTAGACATTGAGTTTAGAATAATGTGAGCATTGTTTGATGTAAATGAGTGGCATGAGAGTACCAAGGATTAATTGTGGATTTGTTTGGAAATAAATAACGTGATGAAATCATTTGGATCATAAAAGATAAGTCGTAGAGATGCTGAAATGGTTAATGTATGTATGGTATTCGAGATGTGATTTAGGTTTGGAAATCTCTTTGAATTGAAAATGGTGAGTTACAAAGATCAGAAAATGGGTTTTCTTGAAATGATAAAGAAAGATTCTTTTGAGAAAAGACATACTTATGTATGTTTGTTGGGACATAAAGAGTCACATTATATATACAATTATGACTTGTAGCATTCATGATCATATCTATCCATGTATTGCTATTGTTTAGAATCATTGGGATTCCTACTGGACATTCGTGTTCATCCTATGTTATTAACCATTTTTCCAGTATGAAGTTGGAGCACTGTTTCAAGACCAAGATGTCTTGTTAATTGTTGGCCACGGGGCCTATTTCTTGTAGGCGGACTACCATTTTGTTGTATAGAGGGTTAATCCCTCTCATCTCATTTTCTTAGTTTTACTTCCCCCAATGTGCGCCTAAGGGCACTCATAATTATTTGTATTGGACACTTCATCATTGTATATTTATACAAGAGAGAACCATGATTGTTTCCTTATTTGACCTTGTTTTATATTGGAAATGGACTTAATTAAAGGGTTTTGGCAATGGATTCATGTAATTAAATTTGAGACGTTACAATTGAGATGGGCACACAGACTGAATATTGATTGAGGTTGCAATTGGACCTACGAAATTGAGAATTTCAACTAAGCGAGAGCAGATTGCAAACTGAGGGTTTCCAACAAAACACTGCAAAGTTGATGAACTAGGCCAGAACAGAGGTCAAACTAAGTCAATTTAGGGTTACAATGTGAACCCAGTTGCTGCGAACCAGAAATGCTGGGTCCAAGAACTAGAGAGAAAGAGAGAGAGAGAGAGAGAGAGAGAGACCCAACGGGTTCTAGAGAGAGAATATCTCAATATCAATCAAGTTTTATTCGTCAAAGTTAGTTACAAAATGATCCCCTCCACTTTAGTTATATGTTACTAATTAACTCACTAACCAACTCACATGCAAGGCACACGTCTTACATCAGTATGAATGGAGAAAGGGAAAGGATGGGCGCAGAGAGAACATTAATAAAAATATGAGCATTGTCCAAAATGAATCAAGATGAAAACAACATAATTACACATGCTCTACATGTGACAGAATCACTAGAGGAAACAAGAGGCACAGATTTAGATTATATCTGAACATCAAGAGGGAGATGTATGCAACAAACCTTTGACCAAGAAATCCTCTTATACTGATTTGCATGCTGCTGAACAATCCTTCGGTGTATTTGTACCCAGTCATCACCTAACAAATCCTTTGCTTCTGACCTATAGAAAAAACACACACGCACTCATCATGAAGCAGCTTAATTGAACACTAATAAAATAGTACTTGATCAATCTATATGCATATATAACGAACCTGCGCACAGATCTAACTATATAGTGAATGTTGTTCATAAGAAATAATTGGGTCAAAGCAGGATCTTTGTACTGCTTAGATTTTCCATCTAGGTTAGTTTGAAGAGCCTGCATTATTCGTGTTGTTACAGATGTCAACAAGGAATCTGCGTCACCTTCATCAAACTCTTGGAAAAGTTGCTTCAGTGTTGATTGATAGCTATGAAAATTTAACACATGAATGAGACACAGTTTTGTGCATTTATTGCCATACAAAACTAAATAGAACTGAAAAAAGAAAAAAGAAGTAGACGATGAGACAAAAGGAAAATATACAAAAGTACTGTCAGGGGAATAACAAGAACAACCAGAGACAGACTAGACAGGACGAATAAAGACCATACAGGAAGGAAGGAAGTTGAACAAAGTCAAATTAAAAACTTGCACTCTTAAATGCAAGAAACACGTATTTTTGCTAGCGAAGCTGGAAATTTCTTAAAAAGAAAATCACAAGTGGAAGAATACATAAAGTATTACAGCCTCATCCACATAATCATCAACAAATATCAAAATCCAAGAATGCAAAAACCACCCACCACAAGGAAGGAACAAATAGTCAAATTTAGGAGGCTGTGATATGAACTTACTCAAATAGAAACTTTACGTAGTTTATCACATAGCTAGTGAGAGGATGGACAGTTCCATCTAGAACAGCAGTTTTTGTGGCATCTTTTTCTACTGCTTCTTCAAAATCACCGAATGTCTCTTGCGCTGTCTGGGCCAAACGCTTTGTCAAAACAACGGCAGATTCTCGCATTTCCGTGCAATATTTACTTTCAAAAATTGATTCCATCTACCAACCAAAGAAGTAAAAGAAAGTACATAAATAAGATCCAAAACAACAATACCATTTCTATTGCATAAGCAAGATTGTGCATTATGCATAAATGTGCTTTTTGTAAAATCCACCAGCTTTATCAATAGAGGAACATCATTTCATCATCTCAATAAAAAAAGATACACTAAACAGTACATCAAGGTAAAACTAAGCAAGCCACGACTGAACCAATTTTATTAAACAATCCCTAATAGTAGCATAATATATGTAAGAAAGATATACAAAACTAGCAAGAACACATAAATTGAGTAGAAAAGAAACTTCTCACTAATTCAACACGTTTATCTTCAATATAGAGTATTGAGGCCCAAAAAATAATTATGTAATAGACTACTTCATCTAACTCATTCAATTTAATACCATCTTCTATGATACCAAAAACTATCAAGTATGTTAAGAGAAACTAAATTTCTCATGACAACAAATCTTATACACAGAGTAATCTAACTTAAACAAGATAAGAGGTAAATGCAATGAGTTGATGGGCATATGGCAAATAAAGACCAAAGAGACAACACTGGGATGGTGGAAAACTAAGAAGTATGGACACCAACATAGACACAGACATGGATACGGACTTGGACATGGGACACAGTGATTTTTTAAAAAAATGAAGACATGGACACGGTGGGAACACAACAACAAAATTAGTTTTTTACATATTTTTATTTGCTATTAATATTATTGCATCCACAGACAAACAAAATTAACTAACACTGACACTAATTCTATATATATATATCATTTGTGTTTTTTATGGATGATCTATTTATTATTTAAATTTAAGAAAAAAGTAATAAACATTCAACATCCAACATCCATCAAAAGCACTAAAGAAGATGAGAGAGCAAACTACTTAGCGTGTCCAGTACGTGTCCTTGCCATGTCCCTGTGTCTGCTATCTGTTACAACAACAGATGGGGGTTGCAAGAGGAAGGTCGATGTTGATTTAGTGGCAAATCAGTACGACTTGTCTGGTGCTGCGATGCCTTCCTCCATTGAAGTGGTACAAAGGAAGGAGCTTTCTCAATGCAACAGTAGAGAGGCGGTGGACACAGTTGTTGAGGAGACTCGATGTGATGTGGAGGTCAGCAGACCTACTGCAATAGGTGGGAAAGAAGCAATGATGGAGGAGTGTGCACCCTGCCCAAAGAGCAATGACCACTCACAGAGGTGTGTTGAGCACGCTTCTGCAACTGGATTGTTCAAAAGTCTTAGCGGATCTATAGATGGGTTTGGGCCTGGAATTAAACTGGAGGTTGCGTTGGGCCCTCCGAATAATGAGCACTTAGTAGAAGGTCCTATTCGCATGCCATTTGAACAACAAGGTAACAAGGCATGCGATAATTCTTTATTACTTGGGCCTCTCTTAACTGTTGGTTCAAATGGGTCAGGCCCTGTTCTCTGTCCTGCTTCCATCCTCAACCCAAATCGGTCTGCCAAGAAAGCTGGGAAAAAGAAGGTTCAGATGGAAGGCTTTTCTCGGTTTGCTCGACTCTATGGTCACCAATCTGTAGCTATCGGTAGGCTACCCTCCAAGTTTGTTATCTTCAGGCCAGCAGCAGCGGCCCTTGCACACTCTGAGCTGTCCAAGGGAGAATCAAGCACGCATAGCTATTTCCTCAAGGAAGCGCAGGCCATCGTCAAATTAGGGAAAGCTCTGGGAATTAACTTCTGTGGGCAAGAAGAGGGCGTGGTTGATAAGATTCTTGAGCTGGAGCTTAAGGACAAAGAGAGATTCTTAAAGGATGGAAAGGCTTAGCTGTAATAGCAGTGTGCTGGGTTGCATCAAGAGGAACCTTATTCGGTTTTTGGGTTGTCAACATTGGAGTTTCTGCAGAGGGTGCGTTCGGAGTTTGGATCAAAGTAGAAGATTTGTTCCGACCTTGGCAGTGGAGATGGCAGTGGGTTTTGATCGTCCTTGGGTGTGTCGGTTGCAATGGGTGTTCGGAGATTGTATTGTATAAGAAGTGTTCTGATCTTGGAAGTGGGTGTTCTGTTCAGAGAGTTAGGTGTGAGAGAATCTGCTCAGTAGTTGTGCTTTACTTATGGGGTGTGCTTTATTTGTGGGGTGTGATTTTCTTGTGGGGTTTCGTGGGTTTTTGTTGAGTTAAGTTCTTCTTAACCTCTGTTTTTATTTTGTATTTTTCAAAAAATTTGTGAGGCTAAGGGGGTGGTCATATGGGTGCGAGTAGCAGTAGTAGGGGTAGTTTGTACTTTCCAAATCTCTCTCGGTGCACTTCATCTTCCTGTACTCTTAATTTCATGCTGTTAATGAAATTTCCTTTGCTGATCAAAAAAAAACAACTATCTTGAAATGTCAGTGCTTCATAGGTGAAAATATAATTAGAACAAAAGATGTGTCTGAAGCAATGATGTGTACAATATGTGCCTTGATGTGTTAATATCCTACAATAGAATTCAACTGCCTTCTGATAAAGAAAGAAAAGCCCAGAGTCACAGACAATTGAACCTAAACATTCTTTTAGTCTCATATTATTGAAGCTTAGGTATTTAGCCCTATGCCAGCTATTTAAGTTAGTGGCTAAAAAGGCTTTTGCCATTTTCCTTAGGCACAATGCACTATGAGCGAATATTTTTGTGATCATTTATACAAGAAATTGTCAGCTTAAGTAAATTTTCTCATTCCTCCAATCTTGAGACCAGCTGTGTAAAAAGACTGGACCTCATGAAAATACAACTTCATAAATGTACTTTATTTTCTAAAAAATAAAATACTTACAAGTATTTTACTTCAAATGAGAGAGCTTGCTTTGATTTAATAGAACAATCAATACATAATAAGATTATTTTATTTATTTATTTATTTATTTTTGGGGACAAGTAGTTGATTATTTTCTTAATATAAATACATGGATATTAGAGTTTTTTTTGTATCTACTTTCCAAAATTATATAATAACAAAAGTAATGTCAGAATAAAGTAATGTAAACTTTTAAGATCGATTTGAAATATGAAATATGTCAACCTAAAAGAAAAGTTGTTAAATACTTTTATACATTCCAATCTCAAGTCAACCTCCAACAGAAATAAAAGAGGTAAAACATATGAAAATCATTAAGTAAAAGAGAAGTAGAATTATGCAATCTGCATGGGACAATGGCTGGAATTATACTGGATATATATATATATAGAGAGAGAGAGAGAGAGGGCAGTTGTTGGAAGTTAATATATCCAAACTTCTAGTGATCAAGGATGGGGCTTTGCTAAGTTGAATAAAATTTTAAAGGCAAACTTTAAGCATATCAACAAAGTGATAACTGAAGAAAATAAAGTTGACTTAATAATTGTATTGATCAGGACTAACAGTCCAAAAAAGCAATGTTTAAAAAAACGGACTTGTGAGCGAATTGAAAAAAGGATCAGGTGGATGGGTCACTAGTTCAACCGTCAAGTCAAAGCGGAATCAAATTGTGACATCATAATTATTTTATAAATATATTAACAATTACTTAATAATAATATAATAATTACAATACATTTGCTTAAATTAATTTTAAATTTTAAGATACATTTATAATTACATAAACATATTTATATTTATTACTTGTAAAATATATAATCTTTGAAAGAATATGTAATAAAGATATATATATAATTCCCAACTATAAACAAAAGTTAAAGGTGGCATAGTGGTTATATTGTCATACTACTTTTATGTAATTCTGTGTTCAACTCTTCTCAGCCAATGTTTATCTCATAAATATATTAAAACTTATATTTAAATTTTAATATACATATTTATGTTAATTACTTGTATAAAAAAATTAACTATGCTTGTGAATAAGAGAAAACGAAAAAAACATATATAATGTTGGAATTAGGAAAGTTATATTTTGTATATATGGTAGTTTGTATAAAATCCATGATTGTACAAATCACAAATTTAGTGCCTTAGATTATTTTATTCCTAGTTTGTAATCTTGATTCATTATATATTCATAGCCTTACCTCATTCAAAGGTAAGTCATTCAATTCAATTCATTCTTTTTGGTATTAGAGCCAACCCTACTCGCCTCTCTCTCTAGTACCAATCACCACCGGCTGCCTCCTTCCTCCTGCCTAGCCATCGACAAACCTCCCAGCCCGTTTTAGCCACCCGACAACCTTACCCAGCCCTCGACAGTCCCTATTCTTCATCTTCTTCCCCTCGGCAGCCTTCTACAGCCTTTGCTGAGGGTTTTCTAGTTGCCGACTAGACTTCTTTTTGGTACAGAACAGTTCGGCAACCCATCTAGGGTAGTCTGAGCTTGTCCTCTCCCCTCTCGGGGTGTTGTGCTAATGTGTTAAGCACTTTTTCCTATTTTTTTTACTTATTGGGCTACCAGATTGATTTGGTAGCATGTATTGGGCTAAACCTTTGTTTTCTGGCTTCTTGGTTCCTTCTCTATTGCTGTGTGATATCTCAGACCTTTTCCTCACACCATGATTGAGTCACCTCCTGTTTCTCCTGTAGTACCACAAAAACCTGTCCCAATTGGTTTAGATTTTTCTCTTTCTCACCAAACTCATGTTCATCATATTACGAGTGTGGTGTTGAATGGGAAAAATTTTGTTGTTTATAGTAATTACCTTAAACTCTATTTAGAGGGAAAGGGAAAGGCTCATTGGCTTTTATCTACCACTACCCAGCCCGCTAATACAAAGCTTACTCGTACCCAGTGGGACATTGAGAACTGCACAATCTTGGGATGGATGTTCAATTCCATGGAGGACCGAATTTATCACATGTTTTTGTATAGTAACATTGTTTTGAGTTTATGGTGATCCTTGTCACAGATGTATGCTCATGTTCATAATGATGTGCGCATCTTCAAGCTCTACCAAGATATAGCCCGTGCCTCGCAGTCTACTCTAGGTCTTTCCGTGGCTGAGGTTTTTGGGTATCTCCAGGCCCATTGGGAAGAATTGGCTCAATATGAGCCCTTGACTGA